ATAAAATATTTCTATTTAAAAAGCCTTACACCAAAAGAAATCAATGCTGAGTTATATGTAGTTTATGGTCTATCTACCCCGTATTGATAACTATTTACAATGAGCTAAACAAATTTAAACGTTGTGATACATCAACAAAAGATGAACATCGTTCAGGATGTCATGTAGAAGTGAGTACCTACCAAATGATCGACAGAATCCACGACATGGTGTTACGTGATCAAAGAATCGGGTTAGAGTGGAGAACAAACGCAGTTATGCGGTCGTTGCTACGGCCCTCTTAGCGTACATCCACCCTAATTTGAACAATTTTCTACGATGAGTCATTACTGTAGATGAAATATGGATACACCGCTGCACTCCCGAGACGAAGAAATATCTAAAATAGTGGATTGTTAAAAGTTAACGGGCTTCAAAGAAGGTAAAAACAGTTAATTTGGCCGATAAGTTTATGGCCATTGTTTCCTGTGATGCACGTAAAATTATCTTCATCGACTATGAAAAAAAGGACAATTATGGGAGAGTATTATACGTCGTTATTGGACCAGTTAAGTCAGAAAATAAAGTAAAATCGTTGTTATTTGAACAAGAAAAAACATTTGTTTCATGAAGATAATGCACGAGTGCACACTTGCGTAGTTTCAATGGCCAAAATTCAGGAATTGAAGTTCGAATTAGTGGAATATCCACCGTATTCACAAGATTTGAGTCCCAGAGACTTTATTTTATTTCCAAACCTAAAAAAGTGGCTTACTAGACAGTGATTGATGTCGAATAGGATATAAGGAGATGATAACACAGCTCCACAAAAAAAAATGAAAGTCGAGTGTCAGAAACCAAACCCACCCTACCCTATGTTTTTCGGGTCGCTGAATACGAATCCGAAGTCCGTTTCACCCCATCAGGTCCTGATTTCCCATAACCTCAAAGTTCAACCCTAAAAACCACTTAAATCGTGATCTATGTAATTCTCAAGCATATTTACTCACATAACAATATAATTAATCAATACACATACCATAAGCCCTCATACCATAAGATCCTGTGTCGCCGTAACTTCAAAACCCAGGACCCCCGTAACGCCATAACCCCTTAACCCCCATGAACTCGTTTTACAGGCATTCCGGAAACCAAAACCTACTTACCCCATAGTTTTCGGGTCGCTAAACACGAATCTTGTGCTCGTTTTACCCCATCAGATCAGGATTTCCCATAATCTCAAAAATGAAGCCCACGACCAATTGATCCAAATGTCGGAATCTGAAATCGAATGTCGGGAAGCTGGCGTAAACGAATTGATAGTGAGACAAATCTAGTAATTTTCTACGCGTGTTTGCAATCCAGGGCACCTCCACGTGGTTGACGGTGGGCAACGGAGTTGTTTCGCCATCCGGCAGAGACCCTGGATAACGGCGTCTGAGCCGTCATGGCAAACACACGTAGTAAAGTTACGATGCAGGGATTGGAAACCCCAGTATCGGCGGCTGGTCAGGGTGCGAAAGCGGGCCCGCAGACGTCGTCATCAAGCAACCGCAATTCCAAAAAGGTCGGTGCACCAGCATCGACGAAGACGAAAGTATCGATACATGTTCACGACAATTCCAACAAAGTAAACAATTTCTGTTATGTGTGCGGTCCTTTCGTCGTACCAAGCTGTCGGAAAACCATAACAGATGCTATTCAGAGTTCATACCTCTATTGCTTCGATCGTAATATGTCGAATCAAAATGAAGACTGGGTCCCTCACATTGTATGCACTTATTGTCACAAAACGTTACTTACGTGCCACAGAACTAAGGCCAAATCAAATTCAAAATTCAAATCACCAGTCGTATGGGGCAAACCAGAATCAAGAGATGATTGTTTTTTCTGTTTAACGGAAACCAAGGGATTTAATTCGAAAAATAAATCTAAAATAAAGTATAGGTACCCATCAAATGTTTCGCCTGCTACCTTCCTGGAAACCCCATACTGTCGCCCCATGGAATCAAACAACGTTAGTAAAGAAGCGATGGTAGAACAAGATGAAAATAACGTGAGTACCAGTGGCACTGAAGAAGATGAAGAATCGAACGAAGAATCTAGTTTGAGCGATGACGTCTGTAAAACGACTAAAGTTCCACAACAATTCAGTCAAGATGAGCTAAATGATTTGGGCCGAGAATTGGGTTTATCAAAAGAGGCACATGAACTTTTAGCTTCTAGGTTAAAAGAAAAGAATCTTTTAGAACAAGGTACTAAAATAACGATATACAGAAATCGCGAAAGCGAACTAAGACAGTTTTTTACACATGACGAATTTGAACATTTAGTATATTGTAACGATGTCGCTGGTCTTATAAACAGTTTAAAAGCTGATTTTTACAGGCCAAAAGATTGGCGCCTTTTTATCGACTCATCACTTCGTAGTTTGAAGGCAGTCCTCCTCCATAATACAAATGTCTTTGCTCCAATACCAATCGCTCATTCCACAGTTCTCAAAGAAAATTACGAAAATGCTCAGAATCTTTTGAACAAAATTAAATATTCGGAGCATGAGTGGCAGATTTGTGGTGACTTAAAAATCATTGGGATTATTTTGGGGATGCAAAGTGGTAATGTAAAATTCCCTTGTTTCCTTTGCCTTTTTGATAGTAGAGCTCGTAATAGTCACTACAAGGTGAAACATTGGCCCGAACGATCGTCGTTAAAACCAGGATCCGTGAATGTTACGAATCAACCGCTTGTACATCCATCGAAAATCATAATACCACCTTTACATTTAAAACTCGGGCTTATGAAACAGTTTGTAAGAGCTCTTGATAAATCAGGAGACTGTTTCAAGTATATTGCACAGAAAATGAACAAACTAAGTGATGCAAAATTGGAGGCAGGTGTATTTGATGGTCCACAAATCCGAGAAACTTTTCAACGATTCATTGTTCATAAATCATATGACGAATACAGAGAAAGTTGCATGGACAAGTTTTTACAACGTCTCAACAAATTTCTTCGGAAATATGAAAAGTCCAAATTATAAGGAACTGGTGAGTGATCTTATTCACAATTTTGAAAGTCTAGGCTGCAACATGAGCGTTAAATTACATTTTTTAGATTCTCATATTAATTTCTTTCCAGATAAATTGGGCGACTTTAGTGAAGAGCAAGGAGAAAGATTCCACCAGGATATCAAAGATATGGAAAAAAGATACCAAGGAGTTTGGGAAGTAAATATGATGGCAGATTACGTTTGGAATTTGAAACGAGATGTTCAAGTGGATAGCCAAACTCATAAGCGACGTTCACTTCGTCGATCCTTCGAGAGTAAGCAAGTGAGATATCATAAAAGATGCAAAACAGAATGAAAAACTTTACTTTTATTCTACTTACATTTGTTTTTATTAATTTATATTCATATTTCTATTTGTGAGAGGCAAGGGGAACTCACGAAAATAAAGTACCCCGACTGTGAGATGCAAGGGGAACTCACGAAAATAAAGCACCCCAAAGGGAACGGAATCCTGCTATGTCCACGTCGTCGTTCCTGGGCTCGGCTGAATGTGGGTATTATATCGAGACACATTAAACACATGAGAAAAGAATATATTTCTCGCTTATCATAAACTAATAAAGTTCCTCACATAATAAGATACAGGACATTAGTTTAGCGTTGGAGACGCAAATATCTGTTGCAACCTCGCGTTGAAGATCTCTGTTGCTGATTAGGCTTGAACGTTTCAGAGTTCTTCGATTTTTGGGTTTGCGGCTCTGGAAAATGATAAAGTTGGGGAGTTTTCAGATTTTGAGCTGATAAATATTACTACACTTCAAAGAGTAGCGCGCATATTTCAACCTCGCAGTGTTTGAGACTCAATTCTTTGTTAAAAAGCGAGCTATAAGGTTATACAGTAACCGAGTCACTGAAACTTAATATTCATATTGTCGGGAAATGCCTGTAAAACGAGTTTATGGGCGTCACGGGGTTATGGCATAACGGGGGTATACTGGGCTTATAGGTAACGGCTTTACGGGGTCTAAGGAGTTCAGGGCGTATGGTTTGTAGTTCATTCGTGTGTCACGTGGATGAATATTCTTGTTAATTACATAGTCACGAGTTATGGGGTTTTGGGGTTGATTTTTGAGGTTATGGAAGGTCCTGATGTGATGGGGTGAAACGGTCCTCGGATTCGTATTCAGCGGCCCCAAAAACATAGGGTAAGTAGGTTTTGGTTTCCGGAATTTTTTTTCCGGAATGCCTGTAAAACGAGTTCATGGGGGTTAAGGGGTTATGGCGTTACGGGGGTCCCGGGTTTTGAGGTTACGGCGACACAGGGTCTCAGAGTTTGAGGGCTTATGGTTTGTGTATTGATTAATTATATTGTTCTGTGGGTAAATATGCTTGAGAATTACATAGATCACGATTTTAGTGGTTTTTGGAGTTAAACTTTGAGATTATGGGGAATCAGGACCTGATGGGGTGAAACGGACTTCGGATTCGTGTTCAGCGACCCGAAAAACATAGGGTAGGGTAGGTTTGGTTTCTGACACTTGACTTTCATTTTTTTTTGTGGAGCTGTGTAATACAAATAAATGGCTATTTTTACGAACTTTCAAATATTTTTCTAGTGGCTTAGAAAAACTGGAAGGACCTCTGGAAAAGTATATGCAGCGAAAAGGAGATTATAATAAAAAATAAAAACGAATCTACATATAAAAATAGTTATCCTATCTTTTTCTAAGTACTTATTGATCCACCTTTGTAATATAGGTCAACACTCGCTCAATATTTACTTGTCTTATGTTATTGAAGTTATTTATCCTGAAAAATAATAGAAAATTATGATATTTTATGATTTCGAAATTAATCAAGTTTAATCCAATTTACGAATTTGTAGGTTAAATTATTTAATTTTATTTTTTTAAATCATAATAATATTCTATGGAATGTAAGACATTTTAGCCTTGGATATTAAATTAACTACTTCATTTCTTATTCCAATTTATTTCTTATGTATTTGCAGGCTTACCGATGGATAATTGATTCACGTGATACTGCTACAACAGGACGCTTGGAAAAATTGAAAGATCCGTATTCTCTTTATCGTTGCCATACAATTATGAATTGTACACGAACTTGTCCAAAGGTGTGTATACAATTAATTTTATTAGTAAAATTTCATCAGTTCAGAAAAATTTCAGAACTCTGATCTATTTGGAACTTTGACAAATATTTTAAAATAAAAAAAAATATTAAAACACGCTGGACTTTCTTGGAGAGTAAGAGATGTAATTAATGGAAAATACATTTTCATTTATATTTGTGGAATGGTATTTATATTGCAATGTTTTCTTTCTGTACAAATCTCTAAACTGAAAATTATCTACTATTACAAACTATTAACCGATTAAGGCCCAGATCAAAACTGGAAGAGATAGCGTCAAACTAACTGTGCGATTCATAGGCAAATCGAAAAAAAAATATCCGTGTTTTTTCTTTTGCCATTTGCAATTGTTTATAAAAAGTTATTTAAACAAATTACCAAAAAAGTTATTGTTTTACAAATCTAATTACGGAAATCAATTTTACGGGAAAAAACATGAAAAAAATGTATATAATATTTTTTTACCGGACTTTAATTTGTTAGTGTAAAACGGCAATAAATAATTGCGGCTCCAACAGTCAAAATTTCTTCGCCAAATCCCAAGTAAAATCTACGCTAGTTAGCGAAAAACTAACTATGCCATTCATAGGCAAATCGAAAAAAAATACCCGTGTTTTTTCTTTTGCCATTTGCAATTGTTTATAAAAATTTATTTGAACAAATTACCAAAAAAATTATTGTTTTACAAATCTGATTGCAGAAATCGATTCTATGGGAAAAAACATGACAAAATAATATGTAACATTTTTTTGTCGGACTTCAATTTGTCATGAAAAACAGCTATCAAGCATTGAATTGATATCGACAGTCACAAGTGATTCAACCTGATGGTTGAGTTCAGTTCAGTTGAAAAAAAATTTTTTTGATTGTAAAAATTTGTAAACCGTGTTAGAGATCACGTTTGAGTGGTGGGCTAACGGTTTTACAGAAAATTTAGAGGTTTTGTTTCTTGATACGAAAATTTGATTTCTATCTGACTTACAGCGAAAATCTATAATTTCTTGTAAATTGCTGTCTATTTTTGAACCAAGCAAAAATGACAAGGCGGATGGTTAAAGATTTAACCGATTTTGTCGAGGATGATGATATTAATGATTCCCGAGCTCATGTCGATATATCGTTCATTCCCGGAGATCACGAAAGCTCAGATGGGGATTCTGATTGCAATGTTGACGAAAATATATCATTTGATTTGATTCCTGTTGGTTCGTATGAACATATAAAAAGCGCATACAGCAGCACTCAAAAACTATTAGAACCCAATCATGTTTACGATTGGCAAGTATTAGATTTGAAAGATAACTCAACTGTGAATAACGATGATCCCTTCAACATTCAATCCATTTCCTTTTTGTATTCTAAAAACTCTTTGGAATTATTTGAACTATATTTCTCAAATTCAATGAAAAATTATATCATAGAAGTTACAACTGAAAACAATTTTGAATTAAGTATGAATGATCTAGAAAAATTTATTGTTATCATAATGATTACTATTTTCAATTCGAAAAAAAATCTCCGTGACTATTGGTCAACTAAAAAATCTTACAATGTCCAGTTATTTCTGAACTTATGACAAGAAATAAATTTATTTAAATCAAGAAGAAAATAAGATTTTATAAACTTCAAAATGAAAATAAAAATGATAAAGTTTGGAAAATTAGAAGTTTATATGATTATTTTCGTGAAAATAGTATGCAGTTCAGTTTTTTTTATTACAACTTAGCAATAGATGAGATAATGGTAAGATGTTTTGGGAAGTTTGGCATAAAATAGTGTATTAGAAATAAGCCAATCAGATTTGGAATAAAATTATGGGCCCTTTGTTCCTCAGATGGATATTTATATGAACTGGATATTTATACAGATAAAGCAGGACTCGATGAACGGAACCCTCTAGTTGCTGTTTGTTTGGGATCGAAAGTCATTATCAAGTTGCTATCGCCTTTACTACAAGTAACTAATAAAGAAGATCTTACTAAGTATCATGTGTATTTTGATAATTTTTTCACCAATCCAGATCTTATGGTACATTTGGAAAAAATTGGATTATCAGCAACTGGGACGGTCAGACAAAACCGCGTCAAAGAAAAAGTTGAAATGCCAAAAAAAGCTGAGAGGGGAACAACTATCGCTCTTCACGATCAAAATTCCAAACTGAATTATATAACTATGATGGATTCCAAACCTGTATCAGTGTTATCAACAAAATTTGTGGATGAACCGAGAATTGAAGTGCAGCGATGGCATGAAAAAGCTAAGAGGTCCATTCTTTTCCCTCAAGCGTTTTCTTCCTATAACCAAAACATGGGTGGGGTTGATTTGCATGATCAACATTGCAATGCTTTGATGCCTTCAATTAGGAGTAAAAAATGGACATGGTGTCTGTTCTTACGACTTATTCAGGCTTCATTGACTAATGCAACTGTGATTTATAATAAGCTGCACCCAGACTTGCCTAAAGGTTCAAAAGATATTGTGCAAGAAGTTTGTGAATTTTATCTTGAGAAATTTGTGAATCAACGTCCTAACAAGCGAAAGAGATCAAGCGACACATCATTGCATAAACACGTAATCAAACAAGGTATGTACAAAACATGTGGGGTATTATCGTGTGAGATGAAAACTGAATTTTATTACCAAAAATGTGCTATACCTTTGTGCAAAAGACACCGAGAAGATCACGAAAATAAAACTGAATAAAAATTCAATCGAATTACATGATCAATGTTTGATAGCTGTTTTTCATGACAAATTGAAGTCCGACAAAATAATGTTACATATATTTTTTTCATGTATTTTCCCGTATAATCGATTCTCGCAATCAGATTTCAAAAAAAATTACTTTTTTGGTAATTTGGTTAAATAACTTTTTATAAACAATTGCAAATGACAAAAGAAAAAACACGGGTATTTTTTTTTCGATTCGCCTATGAATGACATAGTTAGTTTTTCAATATCTAGCGTAGATTTTGCTTGGGATTTGGCGAAGAAACTTTGACTGTTGGAGCCGCAATTATTTATTGCCGTTTTACATTAATAAATTGAAGTCCGGTAAAAAAATGTTACATACATTTTTTTCATGCTTTTTCCCGTAGAATCGATTTCCGCAATCAGATTCGTAAAACAATAACTTTTTTGGTAATTTGTTTAAATAACTTTTTATAAACAATTGCAAATGGCTAAAGAAAAAACACGGGTATCTTTTTTTTCGATTTGCCTATGAATCGCATAGTTAGTTTGACGCTATCTCTTCCAGTTTTTGCCTGGGCCTTAATAGGTTAAGTATGAAGTAGAACTATTTTTTCCTCTATAATAGAAAATTTTCAAGGCACTTCGTTAATCTTTTACTGTCCGTTTTTCCTTGCTTTTTCCGAGTAAGATTTCACTTTGCCTATATCACCGCTCCAGAATTTTTCTCAGTTTAATCGATTTTGTAACTCCCCAGAGTTTGCTAAAATTACAGGCAGTGTTCCTTAATCGGTCAAATCCATAGCTATCAACTTTACACAATTCGTACTGAACATTGTCACCAGATGAATAGTTTTCTACCTGGCCCATAACATAACCTCAATAGGTAAATTTATGCAATTTATCAGGTCGGTCCTTGACAGTGGCCACTACATTTTAGTGGTTTTACTCATTTCATCTGAAGTAGCGTCCTTTATCATTGTCTTAATCGGCCGATATGTCTAGCAGACTGACAGTGCAACGAGTAAAAATACTTGCAGATTGTTAAAATAAAAGGTAAAATAATATAAAATAAATGCAAAATGTAGAGGCGAGATACGCAGCATATAATGTGACAACTGCTGAGTTGACAAATTGCAGTTCAGCAGATAAGGTACATACCAAAAACAAGCGAGAAATAACATGGTAGTACTGTACTGTAAATCGTCGTGCTTCTGGGACGATGTAAGAAATTCTAGATAATAAACTCATGTCTACACTTTATAATTATTCACTATATTTTAACTAGATGATTGAGAAAAGTTGTTGAATAGAAAAATAAAGTTCGTATATGCCCCTATCGGAATTACACCTGCCACCACAAGAACGGTCTTGGTTAAGACCGTTTTTTAGGAGCAGACAATCCTCAATGTTCCCTGTCATCACAGGGAATATTGAGGAACAGACGTTCATCAGTTGTTTACTGTATTTCTTGATTTCCAACGCAGCCGCCCCCACTTACGTCTCCTTGTTTCGTTACGACTTTCCGTCCATTTTATTTATTCAACCTTTTACACATAATTCACCCGCTGTTTTTCTCATACTAAATTCATCCAAATTCCAGGCATCCATCCACCTTCTTCCCTCTCAGAGCAGTCTCAATAAAGATCGTGACTGCTGTCCAGCTGTCTTCGTCACGTAATATTTTTGTCACAGTATTGTCCGGCATAATACCAGTTTTCTTTTTCAGTTGCGATCTGTCCGTGGTTCATCATGGGCACGCCTAAAAAGTGTGCTCTGCGTTGTCTTTGTCACGTCCACAATGTTTGTAGTCTAGCGTCCGTACTCGGTTGCATCTAAATAAGTAATGTCTGAAGTATCGATGGCTAGTGAGGAATTGGGTCAAGTAAAAGTCAACCTCCCCGAACCCTCGTTGCGTCCACGGTTTTAGACCATTTATCAAGCGTCTTGTCCATGTTGCCGTCTTGTTTCTTGTCCACCGTTGGTTCCAGTCGTTTACTGTTCTGTCTTGTTCCATAACAGCTGCGTTAGTTCTTCCTATGTCAGAGCTTGTCTCGTACTTTCATTTCTGTTATTTGGCGAGCGCTATTTACAACACTCCTTGTCTCTGTACTTTCGTTAATCGTTTACGATATTTTTTAACGTCGAGCTTATCAGCCCAGATTTCCGCACCGTACAACATGATCGAGTGGGGCAATGACATTAGCAGACGTCTCGATTCTTACATGTTTGTACGATCACCGCCGCTACGTCGTCGGCATAAGCGACCAGCGAGGTATTTCCAGTATAGC